GATGCTCCACTGCCTTGTGGGTTAGACCTTTAGGTCAAAGGCTCGGGGTGTGGCCCCCTAAGATAACCACCTGCTTCGGTTTGGGCACCCGGGCAGTATCACAGCCCACACAAAAATTGATGAACTCTTTATGCCTATGGAAATTACCTTTCTCGCTTTGAAAAACAAACAATTGATTCAGATTATTATCATTACAATTATTGTCATTATTAATACTATTATTATTATTACTACTATTATTGTCATTATTATTATTATTATTATTATTATTATTATTATTATTATTATTATTATTATCCACATTATTCACCCTCTTTTATACTTATACAGCGGCTCGACTTTGGTGGAAATTCGACTATATCTAAACGTTCTCGAGTCACTGTCCGGTTGAAAATTGTATGCTACCATTAAACACGAATAGTGAAGCAGTTTTTCTGAAACCACGTGCACCATTCAAACTGGCTGCCTTCAACGTTCGCACATTTATGCAGGTCGGACAACAAATAGGGCTGGCTATGTCTTTGGAAAGTCTTAATATTGATGTTTGTTGTCTATCCGAGACCCGTATTCAAGACTCTGGCGAAGTACTACAAATTCGATCTCCATCTGTCGCTTCGAAAACCTTGTTTTACGTGCGTTTATCCGGAGACCCTGTGGCATCTTCGTCTGGTCTTGCTGGCGTTGGTGTCGCACTAAGCGCTAGAGCTGAGGCAGCACTAGTTGATTGGATCCCCATTAACAGTCGGTTATGTGCTGTTAGATTAGAAAGTTCCATCAAAGTGAGAAGAAATCGGCGTGAGAAACGATGTCTTCTCGTCATCTCCGCCTATGCCCCGACAGATTGCAGCCCGGATGCAATCAAGGATGAGTTTTACCACCAGTTATCAATTCTTCTCCAGAAAGTGCGTTCGACAGATATTGTAGTACTAGCCGGAGACTTGAATGCTCAGGTCGGGCGTCTAGGCACAGAAGAGAGTCGTTTGGGTGGCCGATGGGGACTCGTTGGTCGCAGGTCAGATAACGGGGACCGTCTACTGCAACTGTGCACAGACCACAACCTGTTTCTGGCTAGCACTAACTTTCGGCACAGTCATCGCCGATGTGCCACATGGCGTCCTCCCTCTGCATCTCAAGCCTGGACTCAGATTGATCACATCGCGATCAGCTACCGCTGGCGTGGTTGTGTACAAGACTGCCGCTCCTTTTGGAGTACTTATCTGGACTCTGACCATGCTTTGGTCTGCGCCAATCTTACCTTACTTTTCAGTGGCCAACGAAGTGACCGCCACCAACGGATTGATGTTAGCAAGCTGGTTGCAACTTCTGTTGCAAGTAAGTATCGAACCGAGCTAGCCTCTAGGCTAGCTACCACTCCACCGAAAAGTATAGATGAGCGTTGGTTGCAATTGCATGACACCATGAAAATGGCGGGAACAGTCAGTTGTGGGTTTGCAAAACGTCCCGCTTTTAAGCACTGGGTTTCTCCAGGTTCCTTTCAACTCATTGAAGCCCGTCGGTCTACTCCGGGTGACCGTGAGTTTGACCATAAACGAAGGATGTTACGTAAGGAAATTGGACAAAGCTTGCGTAAGGACCGAGAAGCCTGGTGGTCGATGCGTGCTAATGAGCTGGAAGCAGCAGCTGCATCTGGTAACTACCGGAAGCTCTTCCAGCTCATCCGAGCCACTGGCAGCAAGAAGTCTGGTGTGAGCGAAACAATCTGCGAGGATGACGGGATGCCAATCACTAACATCCATCGACGTCTTGGACGATGGGCAGAATTTTTCGAAGGGCAGTTCAACTGGCCTGTTGCTCCGGCAACATCGGTCAGACTGTCCTACCCTCCATGGCCGGTGACGACTGATCCACCAAATGAGGAGGAAGTCCGCAAGGAACTCCAACTCTTGAAGCATTACAAATCACCTGGCCCAGATGACTTACCTCCGGCTCTTTTTAAAGATGGTGGTGACTTATTGACTAAGTAATTGACGACGTTGTTTACAAAGGTTTGGGAACTAGAGAGTGTACCAACGTCATGGAATGAGTCGATAGTTGTCCCTATCTTTAAAAAGGGTTCACGTCGTTCCTGTAACAACTATCGGGAGATAAGTTTACTTCCGATTGCGTCCAAGTTATTGGCTTCCGTCATTCTTCGTAGGTTGTTCAAAACCCGAGAAAGATTGACTCGCAAGGAGCAGGCTGGGTTTCGTTCTGGTCGAGGATGTATTGATCATATCTTCACCCTCCGTCAAATGTTAGAACATCGCTATACTTATCAAAGGCCAACAATCGTAGTGTTTCTTGACATCAGGGCAGCCTCCGACTCGTTGGACAGGACTGTTTTCTGGGATTGTCTATTGAAGAAGGGTGTGCCTGAGAAGTTTATTAACATCCTAAAGGCCCTATATACAAACACCTCAAGCACAGTGAGGCCATATAACCACCTTTCTCCATTGTTCCATTCGAGCAGTGGGGTTAGACAGGGTTGCTCATTCCCACCATTCCTCTTCAACTTTGCCATCGATGACATTCTGGAAACAGCTCTGATGGATGTAAGTAATGGCGGTATGGATCTGTTGCCTGGAGAAAGACTTCTCGACCTTGAGTATGCGGATGATATTGTCTTACTGTGTGATATAGCCCAAGGCATGCAATCCGCACTAAATCAGTTGCCAATTAATGTCCGTAGGTATGGTATTGTTGGGGACGATAGATCCCCAAAACTCAAATTTTGTAATTTACTTATCGATTAAATGTGCAGATAGGTCAATTGATGAACTATCGATTAAATGTACAAATAGCAGTCAATTGTTGATTAATGTTCAAAAATCTTCCATGACAATATCGATTGTAAATATTTGTATAAATACGCTTGATTTGTGTACTTGACTTGACTTGTTATCTGCTGTTGTCTGTAGAATACACTTTCTACACCTTACCCAGACTTCTTGATCGAGTTAGCAGAGTTGGGGACAACGGACCAGAAAAGACTATCGAGATTCTGAATCCTTGATCCGATCGATAAGTCACTGTCATATAATCGGCTGTCTCCTTGAGACGTAACAGGTATGTGCTTTGCACCTTCGAAGTGCAAAGTACTTCTACAAGACTGGCAGGATTCTAATCCTGTACTCACCCTGGATGGTGAGCAGATAGACGTAGTTGAGAAGTTCGTGTATCTGGGTAGTTGCACAAGTGCTGGTGGGGGTGTGAGTGATGAGATCAATGCACGAATAGTGAAAGCCAGAGCGGCTTATGCCAATCTGGGCCACCTTTGGCGCCTTCGTGATGTTAGTCTGGCTGTAAAAGGCCGGATCTACAACGCGTCGGTGAGAGCAGTTTTGCTATATGCTTGTGAAACCTGGCCTCTCCGAGTTGAGGACGTTAGACGACTCTCTGTGTTCGATCATCGCTGTCTCCGAAGGATTGCTGACATTCAGTGGCAACACCATGTTAGTAATGCAGAGGTTCGGCATCGTGTGTTCGGGCACAGGGATGATAATTCAATTGGTGTCACCATCTTGAAACACCGACTTCAGTGGCTTGGACATGTTCTCCGAATGTCGTCCCAGAGAATTCCACGTCGTGCATTATTTGCCGACTCTGGGACTGGTTGGAAGAAGCGGAGAGGTGGTCGGTGCATGACATGGTGTCGTGTTATGAAAGAAAGCTGCAAAGGACTTGTTTGTGTTGGTCCTTCACGACTCCCTGGTTGGGGTCTGAGAGATGGTGCTACACAGTGGCTAGAGACGTTATGAGATATGGCTCAGAATAAAAGCCAGTGGCGATCCTGCTGTAACCTTCTTTTACTTTCTTCATAAAAAGTGGTTGTGTCTCCTTTACCTGAAAGATTTCTTCTGATTGTACCTTTTCGTTCCGTCGTTACTACCACACTACCTTACTCCAATCTCTTCGTCATTGTTCTCTTTTTCTTTTGCGCTCCTTAGTAATTTTTTTTTATTTCTCTTCGAATTCTCATTGTTTTGTGTGGTGCATATATATTGGCGCTCTCTTGTACCAATATTCATGTGTTCAAATAAATAAATAAATAAATAAATGACTCAAATATAGAAATTTTAGTCATTATATAAAAACACGCCGACATGAATTATTCGTATGTATTCCGGTTATATGTGATATTTTGTATTTTTGCTTTGAACCAAAATACTATGACTACCATAACTAATGGTAAGTTAATTTATATTAAACTTTTATTGTTATACCTTATCTAATTTAGATCAGTTAAACAGTACTTTTTCAGGATTAAAGCATCGAAACCGGCCAAGAACGCTACAGATTACTACACAAGTCAGGTAAGCTAATCAGTTAGTGTTGGTTGGAATGGCTTTCCTCAAACTTACTTAATGCAGTGATCAACGGTACATGCTGTGGTTGGCAAACAGACTTAGGATATGTAGGTGGTACCGTGTGAATAAGTTCTATCCAGTGCTTACAAAACCTCATCGACGAACCTAAACCTTTGTTTTAACCGAGAACATATTATGCTTAAGCTGAATATTGTTTACTCGATGTAGGTTGCATGATGGTCAAAAATACAGACAAGATTACAACTCAGAAATGAAACGGTAACATAAGAGATCGACCAGTATGAAACTCAACAGTTTTTCAAAATGGAAACCATGAATAGCATCGAAATGATGCCAACCCACACTATTCGGGCATCTCAATATAGGGAAAAAACAATTATTGATTGTTATCTCTCTTTAAATTTATTGCAATATAACCATTCGTAAATAGGGATCATTTCGAAATTGCTTAATTCCATTATTTGTTACTGATGCTCCTGAAATTCTAATGAAAAATCATGACATGTGGCGTTCAGAAATACTGTGGCGAAACAACTGTTTACCGATTCCTGGTTTTCAATAGTGGTGTAACTGTGACCAGTTCGTGATTTAAACTATGAACATTTCACCATCTACACAAACATCCCTAAACTAAATATTGGACAAAAAACGACTATGTACCAAACAACTAACCTCTACAGCTGTACGATCAATTCCTTTGGGATACATCCCTTTGTATTCTTTCAGTTTTTCATATGGTATCAACTGAAAGGAAAAAATATCTAGTAAGGAATTCTATCTCAAGTAAGCAACCAAAACCATCAAATCAAAATTCTACACATTGCACAAGTCAGTGGCTATATGAACTCAGTAGATAAATGGATAACGCGTTGAGTGTTTGAGGATAGTGGTACTGGGTTCGAGTCCAGGAGTGAACATCATTACGGGTGCAGGCGCTTCTAGACAACGAGTCCCAAGTGGAATGAATCACGCGTCCTGCGCTACTCTCCTAGCCACCATCCCAATCTACTTAAAATGGTTGAAATAGATTTGACGATAAAACACACCAACTGTAATAACCACGATATACTTACTTGAGGTAAAGATGATTTCTTATGAGATATAGCAGTTGGTGATGATGATGAAAACTGAATAGTGGGATGACTTGGACTAGATCCAACCAGACGACGATCAGCATCGAAATCTTTACCATTGATTGAATCTATCAGATTATGTTGTTGTAGATATTGTGAATGAATCGAAGTAGTAGTACCACTATGTTTAACTCCATGAAGTATACTAGTAGTATATATTGATGAAATGCGATGATCGGATGTTGGTGAATAAATTCGTACTGAATCACTGGTATTTGATTGAGTATTATCAGGTTTGCTTAGTTGCAGGTTGCCGTTTGAAAATTTCGCTGTGATGGAAACAATAGCAATAATCATAAATAAAGAAATTTAATTTATTTTATAAGTTGTATCCATCACAGACTGATCTCGGTTGGGGTAACATTCAGTGGGCATATGTTTCATCTTAGTACATGACTGGACCTCTCAGGTAATCGAAAACCCAAGACTTCCAGGTCTTGCTACCAATGTACAACAATTGAAAACACTGGGTTAGCGTTTATTTCCAAGCTCTACCATCGTTATGTGGCGGAAATGGTTATTGTTCATGGGATTTATCGTTGACAAAAATCAAGATATATTTCATTACTTTATTAATGATAATTTCAGTTCCAAACGTTATTTTTTATCATTTGCTTAAAAGTTTTATGCGAAATTATTTCAAATTAATGTTTTGTTTTTGTCATAGATTAGGAAACTGTTGAAAATTAAGGTAATGAACAAATCCATTTTTATCCTGGAATGAGACTACTTCAAGGGCTTTGTACATCAGATCAGGCAAATGAACTCTAGATTTGATTATACTCAGTTGTGTTTGTTTTTAAACTACTAATGGAGTTAGAATCCAATGATCGAAACCATTCAAGCTGTAATAATAGTAATAATAAATCGTTAACAAGGACAAAACAACAATAATAATTATTATTTCACAATTTATATCACGAAGTGACCTTATCTAGACAACTGTTGAAAATCGGAAGAGATTTAACAGTTAGTTCCTCCCAGCATAGGAATCCTTAAAAGCAATGTACATTCACATCCCCATCGAGGATCGACTTCACAATGTTCAGGTCGTGAAGTGAGCGATTAACCATTTAGACCATTGACTGAACACTCAATCGGTTAAATATCTTAAGTGCTAGGATGAAACAGTGATTCGTGGCCTGTAATAGTTGTGTAATTAAGTTCAGTTCATTATGTATACTATGAAAATCCAACAACCACCAAAAATCCACTGTCGATAATAGTTACTATACAATACCATAATTGAAACGAACAAACAAATGAAATAAACTAGGTATAATTTGCTTTTTTGTTCAAACTTACTCCCATTCACATCCAATTGATGTGAAAGATGAGAATGACCATCCAGTGTAACACCTTTAGATTTATTTAACAATATTCGATTGGTCGATTGTTGTCTAATACCCCCATTTCCAACTGACAGTGATGAAGTTGGATAATTCATTGATAATGTTTTACTCTTTAATTGATCGTTGCAAGATAATTGACCACCAGTATAGCCAGGTTTAATTGAACTACCTAATTATACAATAATAATAATAACATCAATAGAGAAAACAGAATTAAACAATACTTCACAGTAATGCTGAGTAGTTATATTATCATATTAGTTTAGAAGAGACCAGTTCGTCTATTGTTTTGTGTATTAAGATATGAGATAAACTATTCGAATGAATTGGAATAAGTGGATTTGTAGAGATCAATTTTATTTGCAATTTTGATTTCACATAGATCGACCGTTTCCTAAGTTTGGATACTGACGAAAACCAGTCGGAGCCGGACAGCTGGTCGTTCTAATACAAGACTCTTCAATAGTGTGCACCTGACATTGGGTGGTCAATTGCTTTGTATTGTGGATTAATTGAAGTTGGAAATGTGTACACTTGGATGTCAAATCAATGATCTAATGATTAAGCGCTCAATGATAAGTCTGAAAGTCCTAAGTTTCAATCATTGATAGTATCGGATGTGTACATTACTAGTGGGGATTCGAATACTAGGACGAAACAACTGCACTCTGTTGTTTGAATAAACGTTTGCTTTGCCTGACTAGACCATTAAAAATAATTTTGTTATGATCTGAAGAAATTTTTGAGAAAATTTCGATAGAAGTTAGAAACATGAAACCAAATGATTTCTTTCAGATAGTGAGTGTTATTGTTAAATAAAATGTTTACTTTTTTGAAAATAGTAAACTCGAAGGAATAACTATAGTCACATTTTTCAAACATAACCGCTGATTGGGTTCAGTCAAGTAAAGCAGTGAACTACGATAGAAAGAATGAAACTTTTAGATGTGTTGTGCTCTCTGGGCTAATTATTCTTACTGCGAAGCCTTTTTAATCGTTTTAAGCAAATTTATCTGCGCTTCCTATTTAATTAATTCACACAAATCCTAGTACAACTGAGCAGGAAAAGAAATAGTGTGTTTCACAAAAGTCAAAAGTCGTATGTCAGCTCGGAAACCTAAACAGAAGCAGTTTTTCTACGCGGTCACTTCTCGAACTTTGGATCAAAACGTTTGACCCATAAGGTAGAGGAAATACTTCCTCATGGTAGCCGGCGGTCAAAAATAGGTTCATATGCTATTCACTACCTCAGGATTACGAGGCTCATGTGTACCATAAGGAATAGGAGTTTTCCAACTTTCATAGAGGGGCTCAGTATCAAACTACCTATTTTGAGTGAGACACGTTGAATTTTCGCTCTATCACTTTCGTAAAGAATACCTCTGCTGCATAAGGGCAGTAAGTAGGAGTCTTCCCTAACAAAGGCTATAAACACATGACCGTGTGAAAGCATTACGACAGGGAGAGCAAACTTCTCTCGCCCTCGGACGCACCATAACATTTTTGGAGATAGAACAATGTTTACCTTACTTAGATCATACTTTCAATGAGGATTAAATCTGGTAACAATACAATATTGTGGTATTTAGTAAGTAAAAGTTTTCAGTCCATGTTACAGAATTGCAACAGCATTAAAAGGCACATCATTTAAAGTAGGTAATGATCTCTGGTATTTTGTGTGCGGTCATCAGTATGGAGTAATTACACATACTTTTAACCTACATCACCAACCGACCTAAGTATGATAACTGTTGAAAACCAGGAAGCATTGGACACCTATTTCATACTAGTATGGGATACACCGATGGCAGTATGTAGATGAACGACCTCTTTTCGGAGATCAAACCCATAATTTTCAAGACTCGTAACGGCGAGTAGCGAATGTTTGGACTAGTAAACTGGTTTCAAATGGTTTACATGTTTACTTTCAACTAATTCGTGATATTCCCCAACCACTTTTCAATGTTACAAACTCCTTAAACCAGTAACATCCATGTTTGACAAACTCGATAATGCACATTTACCACGATAGTGATAATGCATTGAAAGTGAGAATAGAAATGTAAGCGACTCCAAAAAGAAAATAACTCTGTTCGTTTGCCATTTAATTATTACGTAAACTATACAAGTTAAGAGAGGAAAACAGAGTTTATTCCTGTGGATTCGTCTCGATTATTGATCTGCTTGTTATAAAGACAAAAGTATTCGTTACCAAGGCAACTACCATTGTGGTCTTCTTCACCTAAGTTCTTCGTTCACTGAATGATTATCACTATAAGTTAAGTAACTCGGTTATAGACAATATTGTGACAGATATATATATATATATATATATATATATATATATATATATATATATATATATATATATATATATATATATATATATATATATATATATATATATATAAATTTGTTATTAGATATTTAAAATTAATAAACATATAAGAAGTTATTGAATGAAACATGGCTTATTTTAGGATTTATTTCAATACATTGACAGTATTACTGTTCCTAATTCCGTGTGATAGTGATAGCTTGTAAGTATATTCAATAAGGATTAAGTAAAACTGGACTGTGGGTAATAGTCGAGTGTAGAACATGGGATGGGATACGTGTCTGTAAATTTGTAGTGTGTCTGCTTTTCAATTATCAATATTGACAAGTCTTCTAATTGAACACCCCATGCGACTTCCTAGCCGTTTCGAATTTGCCCGACAATCCGAACACCAGAGGAAAGGCGCGAAGTGCAAAAAGAACGCCTTACTTCAAGCTTAATTAAAGTACAGAAAAACGAGGGTACTCATAGTGTTACAAATTGCCACAGTTGAACTTTACTAAAATGGATGAAATAATTGATTCAACAATTCTTGAAGATAAACACTATAGTGTTATAAAGATGTTTCCAAGTGAAAATTCTTCAGTTTATCAAAAATATTTTTCTTAAGACATAAAATACAGGTGACGGAATTTTTTTTTCAACAAATTATTTGTACTGACTCTACATTAATTAATGCGCTGCTTTGCTTTAATATCATTTTCGTCATAAACGGTCATCACTTAGATGATTATTTAGGAACGAGAGAGAACTGAATAGTTATTTCAACCTCGCCTTCACATTTCTTCGTAGCAGGAATGAGATACAAAAGCACTAAAAGTTCCGTTACTGGAGAGCCTATAAGACTTGCAATTCACATTTCCAACGTCAATCAATTCACAACATTGTGAGACAATCATCCATCCGATCATATACAACATAATTGAACTTTACTGGTCACAGGGTTTACACCAGAACTTTGGGATTTACCTCTTGAAATTAGTAATTATTACGTACATGGTTTGAATTGACTGAAATTACGGATATAAACTACTGGATACTAACTCAGCGGTCTGAAAAACCCTGGATTTGACACCCTAAAATGATCATGAATTAGCACTATCGAAGAGTCCTATACTGAGACGAAATAGCTACATCATCAATTACCACAACTCCTACGCTAATGAGGATAATTTATCGAAGAACCAATCAGATTTAAGATAGCGAATCTAGGGATTTTGGCGCGAAATCCATTCATCCGTATGATTAAGTAGTATTTCGGCATTGTAGATTATGTCAGTTCGTGATGAAAACCCCAAATCGAATTTTCAATTCTAAGTTCTAACTCTAAATCTTAGACCCCACTCCGCACACTAATTTATAATCTTACTAAGTGGTTAAAGTTTTTCAGGGTCGTTTTAGTGTCTCCCAAAGGTCGTCTATAAATTAGTCTCGCCAATTATGATATAAACTAGTTAAGAGAGATAAAACAAACAAGACTATAGAGGGTGGAAAAAACTTGTGACAAACAAATAACCACCGAAATTTAAAAATACACATCAACAAATAGGTAAAATATAATTTTAATCGTTGAATTTCAGAGAGAGAAAAAAACAAAGGATAAAGTGAGGTAAAAAAGAATAAAATATTAAATCTGTAAAGGAATTTCAGACAAAATAATAATAATAATAACAACGACCATTATCTTTACGATGAAATGGTTACAAAACTAATCGCAAGCAGTAGAAAACAGACAAAGAATAGACAATCTAGATTACTTCATTCATTTCACTACAAGACACGAAACCGAAAATAGATAACTTTTAACTTTGAAAAGTACAGAAGTGTGTGTTAGACAGGGAATCATCAAGCAAATAGCATCACATATAAGCATAGTCTCTACATATAATCGGAATGTAGTTTGGGAACAATAATAGTAATGATGAATAATAAACTGACACTCTATGAGGGAGTTGGTTCCGTGTCACCCGCTTCACAGTTACAGATGTTACTACTGAACTATTTTGGCTGCGACTGACCCTGTGAGACTGAGATATAGATCAGCAGCTTATTCATTCATTTCAATTACAAATCTTATATTCACTTATCAAATCATAATTAATAATATTATTCCTCGGATTTTATAATTAGGGCTGAATTTTACTGATTCCCTGACTCATCTAACAGTGTGAACATCAACATTGAGATGCCGGTAAATTTTGTTGCGACAAGTTTTGAATATGATGAAGTATAGATGTGTTTGATTCAACTGCTACTTACAAGCTAAATATAATACTAATTTAATATGTCAGACGGACAGTTATGATCAACGTCGAGTCTGGTACAAATATGTGTTAAAGTGATGATAAGAAATTGAAAAAGATTTGAAATAGTGTAGAATAGAATACTAAGACTTAGTATGTATAAAAAGATAAAGGGTAAACGCATCTGTGCGATTGAGGCCGATTCCGAGGCATGTCACCCAAAGTTAATTGATCGCAGTTAACATGCGAACCTTAAGAGTACATAACGAAAATTTATTTTAATGTTTACTAGGATTAAGAGGGTTAGTGAAAATTCTTCTATTTCACAGTTAGGCTTCATGACGGACTGACATTAATTGTAAAATTATTGAAACCCATTACGTTAACGTAAAAGCGATTTCCTTTCGACTTGATAGCTCCACTCTGGTGAACATCCATGAATCAATGCAATGAGTTGAGGCGAGGACATTTGAGTCTCCTAATGAGTATGTCATCTTCTGGTTTGGAAATTTAATGAAAGTGGAGAATTTAACATACACAGACAGCATCATCGATGAACAAGGGGGATCCGATGTAGATGTAAAGGCA